TAGAGCCAGTTTTTGTTGGTAGAGAGAGAGGATCCTCTGAATGTTAGATTTTGGTTCCATTTTAGATTAGATTTCCCCTTTATTTTTACTTATAAAAGTCAATAAAAACGTCAATTTAGGTTTTTTAAAAACCTGTCTCCGGTGTCCAAATGATGCTTTACTGAAAGTTACAACTGCTGTTAGCCAGGTTTCACAGGTGATTTTGAGTGCCAGTACAAATAATCATGAGGATGGTGTTGAATTGCAAGCCCCTGTTGCTAAAATATATGATGAAAGCCAGGTTTCCCACGTTGAGTTAGCTGTTGGTACCTCTGATGATGTTGGTTTACTAGCTGAAACTTCAGTTCCTACTCCCTCAGTCACCATGGATGATAATACCCCTACTCTTTTAGATATTATTGAACTTCGAAATGATGCCTTTGGTACTCATTTAGCCCCTTTACAATCTGTTTTACTGGCACTTGTGAACACCCTTTAGGTTTTGATTCTGTGCCTTACAGTGCTGGGCTTCCTACTGTCCACAATAATGAGGAAACAGGGCAGGCGTTTGGTATTGGACTTGCTACTACCACTGCGGAAAAAATGTCCCAGTCCCTTCTGATTCTGTTGCAGGAGCCATCAATGGATGTCGTTTTTTAAAACTCGGTAGGCAAACCACCTAACAACTACATATACTACGGTTGGATTTGATGAACCCACAGTGGCCACCTCTAAGATGGTGGTAAGTATTGGTGTAGTTCATCCGGAATTGACATTGCCCATAGATGCTCACTTGATTGAAGCTCCTAATGCCGAAAGAAAAATCACCACAAATACCGGAGATGATGATTTTAAATCTGATCCCTTCTAAGTTGATACTACAGTCACCACAATCTTGTCCAGTGATGATGCTCAATATGAGGACCTCTCTATTTTTCATATTTTTTCTAATGTTACAGGTCAACTAGAAGTCCAGGAAGAGTGTGCCGAAGGGTTCACGAAGGTGAGAAACAAGAAAAAAAATATCACAGAGCAATACCACAGTTCAAGAGGACTCCCAACTGTACTATGAGGTGGGATATACTTCTCACCCCATAATCACAAGAAGTCACTCCAAGAAACCGCGTGATGAAACTGACTATTTCTTATACCCGGTCGACGCGAGCTTCGACTCACCAGATAAACTAGTAGCGACTCTCAAGAGATATAGATCAACCCACCCGGAGGCCAAAACATACCAACCCTATCTCAAGAATGCAATCGGATTCCATAACAAATTCAACAGGAATTACTCGGCAACACTTGGAATTCCTACAAGAAATTTCAATTGCTAATGTATCTCTTTTTTCTTTGTTTTTTTCTCATTCAACCCATGTATCTTTAATTTTCTTGTATCTTTAAACTTTTTTCAATAAAATAGGGAAGTGCTCCCCGGCGCTTCCCCCACCTAGTGTGGTTGGTTCCGGGCAAAAAAAAAAGGTTTTTTAAAACCCATGGTCCATAATAATGTATTTTGAATTGGGGAAAATAAGTTAAATATCATAGACTTTTAAGGGGTGTTAGCTAAGCACCCTAAATTTACATATGTAATAAAAGTACCCCAAAGTTTATATAAGCGTTTATCTTAGCACCACCATGATATTTTCTTCTTTCACAAATGTAAACTTATAGTGCTAAAATTTAAAATTTAAAATACTTTGGGCAATTATAAGGATGAAATTATTAATCTAAAATATTTGAAATGAATGACATTAATAAATAAGTTTATAATGTCGATTGGACACTCAAAATCGCTTAAAATATTTAAATTATTTATTCAAAACTATAATTTTACATTTGTAAAAGCAAAAATATGTGTTCATGGTGCTAAGAAATTTTTTTATATAAAGTTTGAGTACTTATATTAGATATGCAAGTTTAGGATGCTTACCTCACAACCCTCAATGTTTCTTCCAATTGCATCCATCGAAAGGAGCGGAAGTAATCCGCTTTCACATTGAACTACTACTTTCCTTCCAATTTATACGGAGTATGTCTAGAAAAGTCTCGCGACTTCGGAACCGCCCTTTGGCTGCCATCATTTGAGCTGGTTTCCAGTTGAGTTTTTTGATAAGTTTTGTCAGCATATTATTCATAAAGTGTAGATTATGTTTACAAAATTTCGGTTTAAAATTAAATCAGTAAGTCAATTAAATAAATTATTGAAAACACGGTATTTTTATTTATATTTTAGCGCAAATTTTTTAATAATTTATTTGACTGACTTCTCAAACGAATTTTAAGCTGAAATTTTGTGTACATAAACTACATTCCATGAAGAGTGCTCACAAGATTTTATCACAAAATTTATCAAGAACCACCTCAAATGGCGGCCGCTGGACGACTTACTTGAGTATGTCTTATTTTGGTTTGCCACCATTGTTAATAAAATGATTTGAAAATAAAAATTGTAATTAAGATTTGTAAAGAATAAAGTAAAATAATATGATCAATTACATACGGAGTATATTCTTTTTATGGGAATACGAAACAAGATATGTAGTAATACGTGTGTACTTTACAAAAGAGGAACAAAGAAAAATATCTTTGAACAAGACTAAAGAAAGAGAAAGATCCTATATATCAACTCGAATATTTGTCACGACTTAAGTATGTAACCAATTAACCCCCAAAGTCTTCGAGCGTTTTATCATTATGAGAAATATAAAAGAATGAGTAATAAAACTGTTACTGGCCCGAAGCCCCGAATGCCCGATATCTACAAAAGACTAAACATTCAAAATATTAAGAAACGTCATAACAATATATACTTTGCAATAAATGTTTGTTATTATAAGGTTTAACACAATAGTTAACATAAAAGTAGTAGAGATAATGAAAAGTAGAAGATGAGGTGAAAGAAAATGAAATAGAAGATGAAAAACGGAAAAAGTAAGAGTAGTTGAATTTTTTTAAAAGGAAAACTTTGCAAAAGAAAATTATGTAACAAAATTTAAAATACGGGAAAGTTTTGCAAACACTTCAATATGGATGAAGTATATGTGTTTCGATAACATTACTATGACATTCTCAATGAGGAAATCATGGGGTCAAATTCATCCTAAATGAAGAATATTGACATTTAACATATAGATGAAAAGATAAATTTACGGGGCTTTTGTGTTATCGTTCCAAAATATGGGAGTTCCCTCTTTTAATTTGGACAATTTTACGGGATTTGTATGTGGGTGGTGTGTTTATGCTGTTCATTTTCGGATTCAGACATTTCAACATGTCTTGTGTGACGTGAGCAAATTAGTTCAAACTAAATTAAAAGATCAGTGGTTGTAATGAAAATAGCTTATTTTAAAAACAGGATTATTAGTTAAATTTATCCCCAACTATCATCAAATTCACAAATCTATCTCATACTTTCACTTTTATTAATTAAAAAAAAAAAGATTCAAACTTAAACTTTTCTCACAATTATACTTTCAATGTATAATTCAAAATATACTTTTCTCACTTTTATTCAAGAAGAAAATCATATTTATATTTCATATTTTTTCACATCTTTCTAATTTTAAGTTTACAAACTTGTATTGCTTATATCTTATCGGTAGTGATAAAAATGTGTAATTTTGAAATAACAAAAAAGAAAAGCATAATTGTTGAAAAAGATGAACTTCAAGTCTTTTTTTGTAAAAGTGGAAGAATATGATAGATTTGTGAATTTGATGATAGTTTGGAATATACATGTGCGAAAATTTGGTGAACTTGATGAAATATACATGTACGATTATAAAAAAAAAAAAAAAAAAAAAAAAAAAAAAAACTAGTATGAAAATTTCTACAATTCGCAACTTTGCATAGTTTATTAGTCTGTCAAAACGGCCGCACCAATTAATAATGTTGATGACAAGTAATAATTATAAAATACTCCCGTTGTATTTAAAGATTTGCTACATTTTGCTATTTGAAATGTATTTAAAAGTTTGATACATTTTCTCTTTTGGTACATTTTCCTTTAAAAATACTCAATTACCTTTTCTATCTCCCCCTACTTTTTATATACTACGGAGTATTTCCTATTTTTTCACCTTTTCTTCTGATTTTTCTACACTGTTATGTTCTTCTTAGTTATTGTGTCAAGACCTAATGTAGTGATCTTTTAAATACGGAGGGGGTAATATTTTTAGTTGATTTGATTTCAATCTCCCAAACTACATTTTGAAGATATCAGATCAGTCCAGAGCATACACCGGAGTAATCAAATAAAATTCACATAAAACAAAAATTTATCAAACTAATTCAAAACAGATTATATCAAATCAGATTTTAAATGACATTGTGACTATATCAATCTAAACCAAAGCATAAATTTCTCTTATCCTATTAAAATTAGCACATTAAGGGTCCTTTTACTGGGACTGGGAGTCACTGCATCCTCCCCAATCAACAGAATGTTTCCAATGATGACAAGTAGTGCTAGTAAGGTTGAAGCCGGCCACTTCTCTCATTAAATTAACTGAAATTACTGCAGAATATCATTTTAATTATTTTTCATATAAATTTTCTTTATTTTTTATTAATAAAATATACAGAGTATTTAAATTATAATGCATTCACAATGTATCAGAATCAGCCGATCCGATTACTTCAGTCAGGATTTAATAAATTTCAACAAAATCATTCGATTCAGCAAATTTCGGTGTTACTCACTCCAACTAAAATTTCATCAATTTCGATAGATTCTAAATTATTACCGATTTTAAATTGAAACCCAAACTTGAATATCAGATTATTATTTCGTAACTCTCCATGATGCCACTGTAAGGATGTTTTTACTTGGACTATTTTTGGTCCCAGATTAGACCGGACTTGGATAATCATAAATACACAGAAACCAAACATTTATCAGACCAGACTAGATCATACCAAACCAGATCAACAAATTTCAGTCCAAATAAAAACATCAAAATTCATAAACTGGTAATTCTATTCACAGCCACCAATTACTAAATACAACCATATATTTAGTTCCTGTTATGTCCTTAATACAACAATCTGATCAACACATTACAAGCACTTAGGAAATAAGTTGAAAGGTAGATTCTACGGTACTCTTAAGGTACCATACATTTGTCCACATGGACCAATAGGAATGATGCAGTTGAATTAATTAAATCTAAATTAAAAGGAATATAATGATTTGGACTAATCAAATGCATGATAGGTACGGTACCCCAATTTTTAAAAGGGTACAGGAGTTAGTCACCAAATTGAAATCTTGCACAATCAACCAGCCACCATGGATTCAGTCATTCAGGGGCTATGGCCGACTCTACAAGCTCTTCATCTTCTACCTCGTCGCCGTCGTCTTGCTGCATCCGGAAACAGCAACCAGTTCTGCTTTGCCAGAAGAAATCCCATCAAAGAAAAACTTTGTTTCTCGTGTGATCAGTTCCAGCTCGGTCGATCTTGCTCGCCCTTCTCGATTCCCATTACACTGACCTCTCTGAGCTCGTCGAGAAGGCCCTCCCGCTTTAAACTCTCGAACATGCTGTTTCCCTTCACAACATCACAATTTTCGGGCCGGCAAATGAAGCCTTGGAGCGAGATTTGGACCCGAAGTTCAAACGTTTCCTAACTTGAAATTGCTTGCAAATTGCAGTACCTTTCTTAACTTCAATGGATTTCCTATGCTTATCGAATGCACGCAGTTGACAAAATAGAAGGATGGAGAAGAGAAGCCCACTGCAATGGTTTTTAGTCTTCCTCAAATCTGAGCTTTTTAGCTGTTGCGGGTTGATTCAGTAGGAAACGTTATGAATGGCGAGGGCTGTTCGTTGACGTCGTTGGGGGCTTTTGTGAAGGTTTATCACACCTGTGTCATTAAAACAGAAGATCTCTTCGAAGTCCTCCCTACGAAGAAGAAGATCTATTTCCGAAGGCTGTGGGCTGCGGATTATAATACGAAGGTTGTGGCCTATTATGGGCTTCTCTTCTCCATCCTTCTTTTTTAAAGAAGAGAAGATCTATTAGTTTTCATAAGCTGATCTCCCCTATCTTCTAAAAAACTGATTCTATGAGTAAATTAGAGCACCAGGTCCTTCTTCACTTTTACCCAAACACTCCAACTTCTGTTTCTGCTCCTTCAAGGAGTAGAAGCAGTTTTAAGAATCAGATCCAAAACACCCTCTAAATTAAGGACAAAACAGGAATTAGACATCGAAAAGGGACAAATAAGCCCTCGAACTAACAAAAAAGTGCAAATCTCCCCTTATATAGGGAGCTTTGTCTGGTTGTCGTCATTTGGGGAGGTTCCCGATGGAATTTTTTGATGAAATTTTTTGAGCATCTTCTTCATTAAGTCTAGTTTATCCATACCCAATTTCAAATAAAAATTCAATCAGGAAGACAGTCAAAAGAATTTTTGAAGATAACTGCGCAGTTAAACAACACATTATATTTCAGAAAATCATTTGACTACCTTCCCGGTTTTATTTTTAGTTGAAATTTGGTATGCGTAAACTAGACTTAATGAAGAAGATGCTAAAAAACTTTAATAAAAAAATTCCACTAGGAACCGCCCCAAATGGCGACGACCGGACCGAACCTCCTATATATGGGGTGATTTGCATTTTTTGGTTAGTTCGAGGGCTTATTTGCCACTTTTCCCAAGGAATTATTAAAAATGTGTGGTTGTACTTAGTAAATATGTAGTTGTGAATAGAATTACCCTTCATAAATCCCTCAAAACCCATTTTGAAGTAGCAGTGATAAAGTGGGTTTCGTTAAATCCCAACAAATTTCAGTCCAAATAAAAAAATCCTAATTCCCGCTTTCTTAGAAATGGGTAAAAAGTCCCATAAATCCCGTAGTCTTGGAAAATACCCTAACATATACTCCTTCCGTCCCATTAGATGGTTTCCATTTTCCTTTTTTGGACGTCCATATAAAAGTTCTCATTTCCATTTTAGGAAACAATTAACAATCTTAATTGACAAATTAATCATTAAATATTAAAAATAATACATTTATAACATCACAGTTATCAATACTAAGTACATTATAATATATACCTTTTAAAATTATTTCCCAACGGGACGGAGGTAGTAACATATACGGAGTATTATACAGAGTGATAGGTTAGTAAATAACTAAATATAGTAAAAAAAAAAACAATAATCAGAGGATTAAAAGTTCAAACTAAAAGTGAAAACACGTATCAAACAATAATGGACAGAAAAGCAAAAGTCAAATGACAAAAAGTAAATAAAAGAGAATCATAAATCAATAAATTACGCTCTTGAGAACACGATTAGCATCACAAGTGCGAGAGATGATGCGTAATTTAATACTCCGCAGCTTTATATCTCATCACATGAGATCACATGAGATCTAGTCATCTAGTACGCATTTGGTATTTGGTAAATTCATTTTGTTTTTTTCTTATTAGTTGTATCAATTTTTAAACTTCAAATGTTGCTATGGAATTTTTTTTTTTTGCCAAATGCTAAATGGATTAATAATGGAAAAGGGTTAAATTGATATATAATCGAATATCATTATTTTAGAGCGCGTATGATAACTCTTGGTTTTCTCTTGTTAGGTTCATTAGAGATTTTTCACTTTTGATTAAATTACTTCTCCGGCTGAGCAGAATTTATTAAAGAGAAGTATTTTTACTATTGTTCATGTCTTTTTATTAACATAATATATACTTTATTTTTTTTATAATCCAGTACATTAAGCCAATTTAACGACATGACTTTGAGAATTTTAGGATATTCAACTTATTTCAAACAATTTAGAATTACCAAATATATACTAGTATATTCTTAAAGTCGGTTTAGTAACTCATATTTTCAGCTTATCCGCCTTATTAGACAACCTATTTACCAATCATGCAACATTTGATTTCTCGTGCTTAATTATGTAATAATCAAAATAAATAATGTTGATTTAATTTTTTTGACTGAATTGTGTGTAAGTTATTATAGAGGGTCATTTTAGCTATTTTCATACATAATATATTTTTTCTTTATTTTAATAAAATATACTACCTCAACCCCAAATTTAAATTCTTATTTGAGTCAAACTTTATAAACTTTGACCGTTAATTATTCAAATTTACATGACCTTATCACACAAAATTTATTTCATATACTTCATTGCAATGTGTTATTCAAATGTTAATCTATTACTTTCACCTAGAAGACTGTAAAATTCAAATTAAGAATGCAATTGTGAGACGGAGGAATTATATGCTAAATATAACTTTTTGGGCAGAATTAGAGCCTGTTTTGTAACACTGAAATTGGCTGAATCGGTTGGTTATGTTGAAATTTATGAAGTTCTGGCTGAAATGGCTGAATGACTGATTTTGTTGATCAAAAATTAAAATATTTTTATTAATTAAATAAAGAAAAAATCATATGAAAAATAACTAAAATGATCATCTACAGTAACTTCAGCCAATAGAGTTAGAAAGGTAACTCCAACCTCACATTTTTTTTGGCTAAACCTTACATTTTTTTATTATTACACAATTCAGCGCGGAAAATCAAATGTTACATACTTACATGTTTTGTGAAAAATGTTGACCGATAAAACTCATAAATCGAAAAACTGGATCAATAAACGGGTTCTTAATCAATTTGCTTGTTTAGAGGGGTCAAATCATAATACCGTTGAAATGAGGGAAATATGTTTGAAGTACGAAAATTAAAAAAAAAATGGTGGGCTTGAGTTGGCACTGGAAAAGTGGCGGTAAAAAGGCGCTTCTTCTACGGAAGAAAACGACGTAAGCATTTTTGTTTATACACTCCGTATTATATTTGGAATTATTATGTGCACGTCACCGATCCCCAGACTCTCCGTCATACACTAATTTATATTTTAAAATAAGTTACGTCCGTTGAATTTGGTGTAAAGAAATAGTATAATCCGGCTGTAAAAGAGAATTCTCGTTTACTTTTTTGATTTTCCGGATGATCTTTAAGTCTTTGATCCCAGCTCCACTCCGTTTCTCCTATGGAATTTTGTTTCTTTGAGACTTTATTCATTTCTCTGAGAAAGCTCTGAGCTTTCAACTGGATATCGTCCATCTGACATATAGGCTACAGCTGTATGTTGTTTATTTTTTTTTCGCTTTTCAATCATTTGATTCTGTGCAAGGTTTGAATTGGAAGTGGGGTATGGATTATCTGCATATAAAGATTCTGTTTTTTTTTTTCTATTTTTTGCAAGTTAAATTTTGCTATTTTGGTGCTTAATCATCTGGGGTTTTGGGGTGATGGGGTTTTGCTGCACCTTAATTAATTCATTCTGGTGATGGGTTCATCATTCGTGGTCAGCAGTAGTAACACAGGAAGAGTGAACGTTGACTGGATTGTGTCTGCTTTGATGCCAACCTTCATTTCTCAGACCACACCAGCTTCCAATCCTATGTAATCTCCCACCCTTCTCTCTGTCAAAGTTTCTCTTTTGATTTTGATTTTGTTGTTGTTGTTGTTGTTGTTGTTCCTGTTTTTGTACTTCTTTGCGATTTGAGAAGTATTGTCGAAAAATTTCTCTGAAATGAATAAATATGAAATACAAAGTACAAAACAAGTACCCATAGTATGAAAACAACAAACTGAATTATGAAATTTTGTACTACTTTTTCATGTCAGATTTACCATCTAGTATGGAATTGCAAGTCTTATTCTTGTATGACAAATTGACAATCCAATTCATAGCCATGATGTGGGCCCTTACACATAGTTTGGAACTGCACGCCTTAACAAATATAGAAAGTTGGAAACTTTAAATGTGCCGTATGTAGTTGTAAGTAAAAAATGGTGTTTCATTGATGCATCTTATTACAAAGACTCGATTAAGCATCTGGGAGCTAAGTTTAAACCAAGCATTGGTCCTCGCCTCCTTGGTGATGTTAGTTATTAGTTAGCATTGTAATTGTGCCGTATGCTTCTTGAAATTCATGCTTTATGCTTTATTGAATTGTACTCTGCATGTAGAAATGTGGCTTCATTTTCTGATGGTTTTCAACAATAGGCATTTATCTGATTGTTAGTGTTTTTTTCACTGTAGTGAAGTTGATTGATACTTAAGGCTCGTTTCGTAAAGTTTATCTCACTGAAATGGCTGAGTTTTATTTAAGGAAAAGTTTTGGTAACTCGTCTATTTGAGCCGAATAAGTAAGTCAAGAGTTACTTATTTAGAACTGTCTACCAAACAGAGAGTTAGCTAACAGAGTTAGCCAACTGTCTACAAATTTATCGCTCAATTGCCTGTTCGGTTTAGCTCATACAACCTTTTTGGGGTTACAGGGCTACAGAGGGGAACACGGCTACAACACATAATTCTCAAGAAGTGATGAATTTTGGGATGCTTGAGCAATATCTTGGATTTCGTGTTGCAGATGGTGCTAATGTCAGTCAAAGTGTGTATCCTATACCTTCCTCTTTTGATCCTGAACAACTCTTTCCTTAGAGGGTTTGATGAAACATTTTTTTTTTTGTGATTTAGGCCCCCTTTTAAATTCTATGCCTGCAAGTACCCCATCACTCGTGCCCGGTGGGTTCGCCATGCTCAACAATAAGGTTTTTGCTGTCATTACTCTTGTGAAATCCTGCTTATAATAATTGAATACTGCGAATTGTTATACGCTCTCTGCTCACCTTTAGTTGCTCCTGTACGGATTTTAGGGACTTTAAGAGGAAAGTTGTAGGATAGCCAATATCCAAAAAAGGTATGAGAGTGATGAAAAGTTGGAAATATCTGGAAAGAAATGATAACAAAAGTTAAAGGTATTTATCTCTTCTAGAGATGAAAAAGTAAGAGAAGTTGTCAAAGACAGAACATGGAGCAAGTAACAATAAACATTTATAAAAGGAAATGGGAGCAAGTAAAAGTGAACAGAGAGATTATCGAACAGTTTATCCATTTATCACCTTTGTTGAACATTCAGGCTAATGCGTTTTCAAGTACAA